CCCCTACTTTGAAACAACTCTTAAAAATAGTGTTTATTCATTTTCAGTTTTCAGTAATTTAATAATTCTATAGAAGCATGAGGTGCTGTGGGCTGTGGCACTTCATGACTGAACAACTGAACTGAAGGAATCATTTCTCACTGAGGACAGAAACTGACTGATGTTCCAAGCATGGAATTAAAATAAAATGCAGGATTTAAGAGTTTTTATACCACCGTATCAGAAAGTACATCCGATAAATATGTTCAATATCTGATTGGTCAGAAAAAAAAATACTTAGAAGTACATACTTTTAGCCTTAACACTTTATACATACTAATTTTTTTGGGGTTTTTTGTGACAAGTGTAATTGTAATTAAGCTATGTTAAAATACATTTTAAATGCATTTAGTTGTTTTTTTGAGTGCCTTTTCTTCCCCTTCAAACAACAACTAAAGGTTTCAAATTTTAGAAGTAATTTGTAGACACTTGTTATTTTTGAAATATATTATAAATATACTGCTAGGTGTACAGATACACATACAATATATACTTCAGTGCTACTTATACTGCAGCTAAAATATACTTTATTACATTTTAAATATATAATTACAGTATTACTAAATATATGTGAATACACAAACTTAGTCATCCAGTGGAGTATGCTTTAACCACTGAGCTCTCCTTCCCTCAAACTCACTTTAACCAGGAATTAATCCCTGGCCTTTTGCCTGGCAGGCCAGAATTCTACCACTGAACCACTGAAGGGCTTTTCACACTTGAAATATTTAACCTTGGTTCCTTCTAAACCCCGGGTAAACGGAATCCTGGATTATCTTGTTTCAAGTTTCACACTGCTCGTACTTTACCTGGGGTTAACAATTAATCCTGGGTATTCACAATCTGATGTTTCACACTGTACACTCCTAAACCCTGGATTAACGTTCTTATTTCACATTTGCGGTGTCAGCAACCAAGATTTGATAAATACGGCATGTGGCCAATTTAAATAAAGGTGAGAAAAAATGTTGGCTGTTTTAAGCCTCCTGTTCAATTTCTGATTGGGTTTCTGTTGCTAAGCATCTAGCTGTAACATTCTATCACCGCATCTTTTCACACTGTACACGTTTGGCATCGCAATGTGGGGTTAACACCACAAAAGCTTCGGAGCAGGGTTTCATAACGCCAGATAAAAAAAAAAACAGTGCTAAACCTGCTTTGAAATTACTAAATTAAGTGTGAAACCTTCCTCTACCCGGGGTTAAAAGCGGGGTTTAGAATGACGATAATCATTGCAAGAATATTTAAAAAATACAAGTTGATATGACAAATATACTTTTGTTTAAGTATGTTTCAGTATGTATAAAGTACATTTAAATTTACTTACTAAGTTGTAGTAAATAATACTTTGAAAGGAATTGCTTTAAAGTATACTTTAAGTAATACAGTTAACTTGACATGAAATCAAATTTTCTTTAAGTATGCTTCAGTATGTTAAATTTATTTATTTATTTGTTTGTTTATTCACTGTTTCTGCTGCCTGACAGAAGTATATTATTTAGGCACTTCAGCATACTTTGTTTTCACAATGTTAATAATAAACAAAAAAATAAAAATATGTTGTTGTTTAACAAAGAAAAAAAATTATTAATCATTGACGTGGTGATGTTTTTCTGTTAGGAGACATTTATGAGAAATCAGGAGCATCAGCACTTTGTAAAAGTAATGGTTCTCAGTACAGAGGAGTTTATGCTCTGCGGGTTCTCAGTAACACGACATGCTGTTTTGTCATTAATTTAAAGAGAGAGGAAAAAGAAAGGCTGGTGAGGGAATGACTGTTTATAGCTGCTATAATGTAAGTGTAACTGACCTTCCACAACATTAAATGTAAACAGAAACTTTTAAGAAGGGTGATATATAATTTAATTAAAAATTGGAATTGTTCGCATGTTGCTGTGGTGTAAGAGAAATAACACACACTGCACTGTGCTGTTATACAAAAATAATACACTTTGAGTGTGGATTATTTACTGCGTACTGTATATAAAAGCTGTGTGTTATTCCTCACAAGATGGATGCAATAGCTTACTTGCAGGAGGTGGGCTCATACTATTCCTTCTCCTCGTTCTAGAGTCTGATGGATCTGTGCAAAAAAATTCACAAGCTGTAATTTACACAATATACTACAGCACCAACACATAATCATGATCACAATTTAAAATTAGTCACACATGGATTCAGTGGTGGTTAGTGGTGTTAGATTGGAGGCTAACATCTAATACCTATCAGTGACAACGAAACTTAGGGAAGAACAATGTATTATATCACAAAGGATCAATGACAGCATAATATAATACTGGGTTGAAAATTGCTGGGGTGCACACATACACACACACACACACACAATGGGCTACTTGAACTCGAGGCTATGATGTATTTCTGTTTTTTTTCCAAAAAGTGCAGTTCTCACATCCCCAGTAGCACTGCTTACATTTGTCAATACTTCAAATTGTGATAAAAATGAATGACTGCCATAAAGTATTTAAGACCAAATTATTCAACTACAAATGAAGAAATATTTTGAGAACTGCTGTGTCCCATTCTGCACGGTGTCTTCAAAATGTAAGTGACCTCAGAGACGATGGTTAGCAAAGAAACATTGTGACTATTTCACCATTTCTACCCATATGAAGGTCTGCAGCAGACATTTCACACCAGATCTGTGTGATGAAAAATGGCTGCAAAATTCAAACAATCAGTCTGGCGGAGAGAAAGGCACTGGATTAAAAACAATAAAAGAATACAAGTATGCAATAAAAGAGTATTTAATACTCTTTTACAACCGAATAAATACCTTAAATTGTGTATTATCATTATTATTAATTATTTATTTTATAAGTTTTATTCTTTTGTACTGACTGCATGTGGTGGATCCTCTCTGAATGTCCAGCGAATGTCGTGCCACATGCTAAAACCTAACCCTGACCCTGACCCGACTTTACTGAGGTCAGTTCACGTCCTGCCTCAGAATGTTAGTTTGATGCCCATCACAGCTTATTGAATGAATTAAAATGTGCAGCGTGAGGTGTGTTTTCTGCACACAACAGTTTTATTGCACCAGGAGCACATCATGTCCCAAACACACAGGTGCAGATTCTGATTGTGAAGTAATGAGATAAGATTTACACGGTTATACATTAACTCTCTAGTCAGGTTAGTCTATTCTGACTGAAGCATGAACACTTATATTCTGATTGAGCTCTCAGGTAGATACATATATACAAAGTATATTCTACTGTTCACATAGCAGTTGTTGGTGATGTTTTCATGATCTGAGCTTAAGTTATGTACTTACTGCGGATTTCTTCTTTGTCAGAGAGGTTCTTAGTCACTGGTTGGGTGTCCATTTCTTCTTCTGGATCTTGATCTGTCATGATTTCAGTCTCCTCAGCAGTTTTAAGCTTATACTTCATTCCTGCATTAAAAGCAGATATGTGTATGTGAATGTGCTGCTATTACTCCTTTAGCAGTAACGCCCTCAAATCCTGAGGAATATTAATATTACGGAAGGTGAAAGTTGGCAGCAGTGACAAAACTGACTGTGAATGTGTATCACTGCGACAATAAAGTTGTGAGGGTGGTGCATTTATTATTATTAGTACTACTACTACTAAACACACTTTTACATGCTGATGTTACCTTTATAATGCATGGGTTAACATGGAAAAAAAATACAAGACAGACTGACAATAAATTCGCTAAGAAAATCTAACCTAATAATTGAATGTACTGAATGTCTCTACAAACTAATATCATGAGCGGTAAACTTTCAACTGAAGACACAGAGTTAGCAACAGTACAAGCCACTTTGCAGTGATATGTGTTGGCTAACATTAGCTTGGGTATTTATATCTTTTAGTAAGTATTTTCTTACCTTCATAGCTGTGTATTTATGATGAAACATACAGTTTAAAGCCTTTCTCCAGCTTACTAGAAGAGACCTTGCAAGTATTCTTATATCCATTAAAAGTCAATTATCTTGCAGAAAATACCACAATTACAAGTGTAGTAACAAACTGTAAACACGGGAACTGCGGTAAATAAAATGTGCAAGTAGCCCATTAACTGGAAATAGTGTGCTGCATTGAGTTCATGCTGACTTTCCTCCAAATAGCAAACATAGTCTATAGAAAAGCTGTAACTCTTGTTCAAACCAGAAAACACAAAGCTGATTGTTCTATTGTCTGTCCTTTTGTGTTAGTTGATTAGCTAAAAATGAATGTTTCCAAAACACTATTGTACAGTTACACACAGTTTGCATAAACAGGGTAGAGTTGGTTAAAAAAAATCTCAGTTACATGAGGTTCTGACCTTAAACTTAAATCTGTTTTTCAGGTGCAATAATGACTCGACTGGCAGTTGAGGAGTATTAATTCTAGCATCACTGTACATTTGGGTTTGAGATCAAAAGATGAATATGAAACAGTAGATTTCAGAATTTCAGCTTTAACTTCATGATATTTACATCTAGACGTGTTAAACAATTAAGAACATGGCACCTTTTGTTTGAACCTACGCATTTTTCAAGTGATCAAAAATACTGGAACATGTGACTGACAGGTGTTTCTTGTTGCCCAGGTGTTTCTTGTTAGATTGATTGTTTAAACAATTAATAGCTCTGAATTGTTAAACTCTTGGTTTGATCCCTGGGTTTCACCTGTGAAGACCGCATTTGTTGTTAAAAAGGATAAACCAACACGAAGACCACAGAGCTGCCTATGGGAGAAAAGCTAGCCATTCTGAAGCTGAGAAAAGGGAAAATCTATAAGAGCCATTGCACAAGCATTGGGAATAGCCAATTCAACAATTTGGAAACAGTAATAAATGGGAACTGCTTTATTGTAATTTGCTTTCTTGCTCTGGTCACTGCTCTGCCTTTGCAGATTTTTTGTGCAAACACCTCTGCAAATTATTTGTGAATAAATTTGTCCTGCTTCATGCAGACTGTTATGATCACACATTTAAAAGATAAAAGAGAAGTGAACAGATTTAACCAATTTAGTAAACTAAATACATACCCAGAAATATTTGGGACAACATGAAAAACATGAAACAACTAAATACATAATTATTCATGAATAATTGATTCATTAAATATTCATGAAAAAAGGGAATTCTTGAAGAGACCATAAGTTAAACACATCAAACTACATTAAGAAATAAAATATTAAACATAATAACTGTTAATTTTTAGTTAATATCAGATGCATTTCTTCAGGAACAGAATATGCAGCATATAAGGAATGATTTAAAATATAATAGAGAATAAAGCATAAAATAAGAAAATATTCACTCACCATCTTTCTGCCTCCCCGTGCCTTGCTGGTGTTCTTTAAACTTTAATTCTGTGTTGTAGTTCTCAGCAGTGTAGCAGCGCTGATTGTTCTCAGAGAAGAGATCATCAATCTTCTCCAGCAGTGTTCTCATTTCTGATCGGTTGTTCATGCTCTTGCTGCATGTGCAGTATCTGTCTCCACACCTCTTTATCAGTTGCTCTAGAACAGTGTTGTTCTTCAGGTCATCTATGATGGTGTCACACTCCTCCTCTCCCTCGTAAGTGAACAGAATCATCACAAAGGAAAGAGCATGTTCTCCAAATTTTCTTTCCAGCCATTCAAGTCCCATTTTATCATCATCTGTAAATTGTCCCATCTTTAGGACAAAGATGAAGGACTGGATGTTGTTTTCATTAACTAACTGACCAGTGA